ATGGCACTCGTATTTTTGAACTTCTTCCATAAAGCTTGCTGTGAAATATTAAGCTATCTTGTTCTTGTTCTAGTCAAACACGCGGCTACAAGAAAATCTCCTATTCTTGAAGAAAAAGTTACTAAAGCGTGGGTCGTTTGAGTCGTTTGAGTCGTTTGTCGGTTTCCACTTGCAAAAATCATTCATGCGTGGGTATTTTAGGTCGCAGAGATAGATTTTTTTCGATCTCTGCGACAACTGTCGTTTGAGTCTTTCGGGTCTTTTGGGTTGTTGGCAGGTATGTTTCCACTGAGTCTTTTCAGTCGTTTGGGCATTTTCCAACGGCCCAAACGACCCAAACGACCAAGTGGGAACCAGGCTCAAATTTCACGCCTAATGCGATCACCAGGGAACTTTTGCAGAACAGCTCTGCATATATGACATCGAGCACTTTATGAATGGCCGCAAAACAATAAATTTTTTAGGGTTCAATTTATATTGCGATTTATTTTAGGATCAAGAAAGAGGAACCAGGAAAACTTTCTGCTAGATTTTAGAAAATTCTGCTAGTGGATAACAGGCGCTAGAACTAAAGACAAACGAAAACGGTTGAAATCTGTTTTTTTATTCTGACTGTTGCAGATGCCAAAGATCATATAGAAATGATCGCACAAACGTGGATCAGTCAATTCTGAAATGTCAATCTCCGTCTGATATTTTATAAAGAAAGTATATAAAACATATAGAGTAGGAAACGGAAAAGAAACATTTCTATAAAAAAGGAAGAAACATAAAAGGTAGAAAATGGTTTTCTTTATTTATATAATTCCCCCGAACTAAACTTCTACTTCTAGCTTCTTCTCCCAGAACAATTTTGACAATATATAATCGCTGCATGCAGAAAAGGATTTCTTGCTCCCTACATCATGATTAAGTAAGACAACATTGCTTCAAAGAGGGGAGAGGGCTCTGCTTAATTCGACCTTGAAAATTTACGTAATTGTTCTGAGGCAGTGATTGTAGCTAGATATAGGAGTGTATGCAGATTTACCAAACAGACACCATCATCATATTAGACAGGAAAGTCGAACCTTTATTTTTGACTCTAAGACCCCGTTTATACTGTCCCGGGACAATTTTGTACCGTTACGGTTCGCAAGTGTTTACACTGTCGCGGTTCCAAATTGTTCCGTTTGGCCGTTCCGTTTACACTGTACCGGTACGACCTTGATTTAATGGTAATTTACTTGGACGAACGACGACAAGGTGGCTTTAATTTTCAGTGTTATTTTAGACTACAAAACTGCAAAGTCCAATCAAGGCTTGGACTGGGAAACAGTACAAGCCTTTTCTGTGGTCGTCTTTTCTTCAGAATTTCCTTTTCTTCAGAATTTGACAACGTAGTTACGCCACAATCAAAGCCTCGATTACCTGAAACAGCCATACAAAACATGGGCGAATCCAGCAAAAAACCTGACTGAGTTCCAGGCCAAGGCTAGGGTCTTTCAGATAATGCATTGATCATTGTGCATAAGACAACATTATTATTCATATTTATGCATTTTGGTACAATTGAGGGGGGGGGGGGGGTGGCGGGGTCGGTAGCGGTACGGACTATCTTAATCACTAAATCAAGACCTAAATTTCTTTTCGACAAAAAAACTACAGTGCCTCTGCTGAGCTAATAATTTTCAACCCCCTCCCTTTCCTCAATTAACCTTTTGCTTGTGTTTTGGATGCCATAGCCACAGGTTTTTCCCTTTGTTTGCTGGCAATTTGTTGTTTTTGCCATCAGACCCCCGTTTACCACTGTTCCCGTGCAAGTTTGGGAACCTGGAAAAACTGTCGCGGTTCGCCCTTGCGTTTACACGAGCACTGTGGAACCGTGACGATTTTGCTCTGCTATCCGGAACAGTTTTGACCCTGCTTTGAAAGCGAACGAATTTTGTACCGTCACGGTTCCGTTTTTGAACGGGACAGTGTAAACACCTATCCGAGACGATTTTGTCACGGATTCACAAAGAGGTCTTTTGTATGGCTGTTTCAGGTAATCGAGGCTTTGATTGTGGCGTAACTACGTTCTCAAATTCTGAAGAAAAGGGAATTCTGAAGAAAAGACGACCACAGAAAAGGCTTGTAGTGTTTTCCAGTCCAAGCCTTGATTGAACTTGGCAGTTTTGTAGTCTAAAATAACACTGAAAATTAAAGCCACCTTGTCTTTCGTCCAAGTAAAGTTTTAATCGGCCTTCCGCTCCATTTTAACTCACAATAAAAATTCGATTGTTGACTTCAGCGGCAAAATAAAAGCCTTGGTTGACTAAATACAGCTTCTTCTAAACAATGTTCTACCATTAAATTAAGGTCGTACCGGTACAGTGTAAACGGAACGGCTAAACGGAACAATTTGGAACCGCGACAGTGTAAACACTTGCGAACCGTAACGGTACAAAATTGTCCCGGGACAGTGTAAACGGGGTCTCAGTAGACACCAGCCTATTCATCAAAGTATGGTGTTCCGTCTGAGCATTGGTTTTCCGTGCCGTCAAAGACTGCCATTTGAAGCAAAGGTAGTTAACACTCCTGGAAAATTAAAGATGTCTCCTAGTTTTATCTCAAACGCTTAATAATCTGCTAGAATGATGCGATGGTCGTGAGTATGAGACATCTGCAGTGGCCATTTCGAATTCAATGTTTTGCAGTTCCACAATAGAACAGAAACTATAGGTAGTCAATCAACTACGGGCCATTGTACAGCTCTCTTACAAATATGGTATCATTTCCGAGTTCCAGATGCTGTTTTGACTGAGTTCCATCCGTGTTTCTATGCGTGTTCCAAACAAAAATTTCATTGTTTCAATTCATTCACTTCCGAGGCACAAAACGTTTACTTCCGAGTTCTAGACTGCTGTCGACCTCCACAGCGTTTGGAAAATCGTTTCCAAATCACGACAGAGAAGAAACTGGCAATTTTAAGATTTTGAAGAGACTGTGATAAAACGTAGAATTTTTAGGTTTCAATTTTTAATTTAAATATTACTTGTTCCAGGCAACACTATTTTTAGCTGTATGTTGGAAAACTGACTGAGTTCTGTGCACCAAGGAACTCGCTCTGGATCCGTCTCTGCAAAAGACCTCTTTGTGAATCCGTGACAAAATCGACTCGGATAAGTTTTACACTGTCCCGTTCAAAAACGGAACCGTGACGGTACAAAATTCGTTCGCTTTCAAAGCAGGGCCAAAACTGTTCCGGATAGCAGAGCAAAATCGTCACGGTTCCACAGTGCTAGTGTAAACGGAAGGGCGAACCGCGACAGTTTTGTCACGGTTCCAAACTTGCACGGGACAGTGTAAGACTTTTGAACGCGGAGCGAACGAATTTTGTACCGTCACGGTTCCGTTTTTGAACTCCATTTTAACTCTCAATAAAAATTCGATTGTTGACTTCGGTGGCAAAATAAAAGCCTTGGTTGACTAAATACAGCTTCTTCTAAACAATGTTCTGCCATTAAATTATGAAGCCATTACACTGTACCGGTACAGTGTAAACGAAACAATTTGGAACCGCGACAGTGTAAAACACTTGCGAACCGTAACGGTACAAAATTGTCCCGGGACAGTGTAAACGGGGTCTAAATCTGCAGTTTCACCCAAGATCATATGCAGGTGCAAACACATCTTCCCTGTGCTATCAGGCAATCAATCTCTTTCAGTGATGATTTTTCATCAACTTATTGCAAGATATCTCGTCTCTACTTGCTTTGGTTTCTGAGTGTGTCATCCCTTTGGTTAATTTTCTACTTTTTATAGATCCTGCTATAGGAAATTTTGGTATTGAATATCTTGTGTTTGTTATTCTGTATAGTGTTTCAACACTAAAACTACTTTTGCAATATAAATGTATTACAGTCAAAACATTGAGTGACCTGTACTGTTAAAGTTAGAAGCAGTCTAGACATTCTAAGCACATGCTTGAAATGCTCGATTCTAGACTTAAAGTCTGCCGTGATATTTTAGAAGTTTAAGCCGAACATTTAGTCAGGTTAACCTTGGGCACATAATAAAGTAAGCCAAGCACGTTTTTGACATGTTTGTTGACACACTGTTCTTTTGTCAACATTTTCACAATCTCTAACATGTTTTTAGGTATTTTGAAAAACTGAACAAACAGCTTTTTATGCATTGCACGTTTTTTAAAATGAATGTTGTATAGGGGAAAATCTCTTTTGCTCGATTCTGTTCAGGATTTTGACAGGGTATTCTAATTCAAGATATGACGACACATATTCTGCCCTATTTATTTTATTGTTTATGTCACAAATGTACAGATGATACACTTAAGTAAAAGCCGGCAAGTCAAAAATTTCAAGTAGAATCTGGGTTCTGAGTTCGTCTCCATTATATTTTGTGCCAAATGTTTCATTATGATATCTAGTTTTTTACTGTTCAGTCAAGCCTTTCCGCGTTCAAATTTATGCGTCAATGGTACCCCGGGTATCTTCAAAAGTCACTTTATTTAAAATCTCAATTTGCTTTTTAGTTCTCAGTTCACAAAAATATTAGCAGAAACATTGCTAATCGCGATCACTGTGGGGAATGCAAAGTTCCTTGTATAGGCGATGCACAGTACACGGAAAAGTTGAAATTGGTTTAAGTTTTTCGATTTGCGCTTGCGAAGTCCTTCAGCAGCCAGTCATAATCTGTATTGCTTTGTCACGCTTCCAAACTTTACATTTCAATGTCATGTAGCCAACAAAAATATCACTGGAATTTTTTCACATGAAATATCTAGCAGCAAAAATTCGCTAGACTTTTTCTCACAGAAGATTTGGCTTTAGAGTGAGGAAGTCACCAATTCTCTTAAATCCCAGGCGTAGGAATCACGAGGTGTGGTCAAATCGAGAGGAAAGTCTAGAAGACTGCTCGATAAGCATATGGCATAGGTTCTCGATGTCCTAATCAGACCTTCAGAAGCTAGAAAGTAACAAATTCAATTCTAAATTGTCTATTTTCTCCTATTTTAGCCGGAAAGCCAGACACAACTCAACGAAGTGGGTTGGAATCTGGGACCACGTCTGATGTGAGTGTTTGCCTGTTAGCTGTATTTTGCGCTAAAATTAAGCTTTAATACTCAATTAAGAGAAAAATCTGTGCTCCTGCAAGGAGACAAAGATAGAAATATTTTAGCACTATCTATGGAAAAGTTCTTTTTGTTTGAAAATTTTAATGGTTACTGTGTAAAAATTGGTCTGGGCGCACAGCAAGAAGCTAAGACAGAGATGCAGTGTCTTTTCAGACTTACTGGCAACTCATTTTTGGCCACAAGTTGAAATCATATGGTTCTATATTTGTGTTTGACCGTTCTTTTTCACGAGGATTTAATTTTTCTTCTTATTAAGGTAGCTGTGCTAACCATTTAACGACAATGTAGAGAATTATTCATAAGCGGGAGTGGTCCGGTAGTAAATCTGATGAAGAAAATGCAAGTTTTTTCGTCGTTTTGAGGATTTTTGAGCTTTTCATCTTATCGATAGCCTTTTTGCTAGTTTTTCTTGACGAAGTTTTTTTCTTTGACTACGCGCTTGCCAACAGTTTTTCATGGCGATAACAGAGACGTGAATGAATTTTTCCATTCATCAGACTGATTTTCTTACTGCACTTCAAAATCAGTTGAAAAGTCTTTGATTTTTTTCACAAGAAATACATTTTCACATTATTTTGAAAATCACATTGATAGGTAATTGCTATTCACAGACAGCCGAAGAATTTGAAAATCTTTAAAACCGACTATCTTCGATTGTCCAAACCCCAATTTTCCAATTTAAACAAGAGTCATCGTGTTTTGTACCCAAAACAAATGGTCGATTGACCTAACAAAAATCCCTGCTGCTTCATTTCTTTTTAAAACAACACGATCAATTCAGCTCTGAACATGATTTCTGCTCTTCACTGTAGACAAATACCTGCCGTTGAAAAACTCTGCAAATCACTGCAAAAAATTGAAGCAAAAGGGGTTGTTATAATTAGGTGCAATTTCTTACTATCCTCCCCCTTCCCCCAAAAAATTCTTCCCAAAATATCCTACACCCCCCTTGTCTTTACATGTCATCACGTATATGGTCCTGTAAAACTGACTTTTTCTTTGCTTTATTGATAATTCTACTCTTCAGGGTCAAAATTGAGTTCTGGTAACTTTTTCGGAAAATCAATGATGCATTGTATGGCTAAAAAATTTGAATTTGTAAAGGATATTTAGAATTTCTAAAACTTACCTTTATATTAGAAAACTTATAATGATTTTCTTTAACTTCGCTTTTCTCGCTCATTTGAGGGATTTTATATTTTAGGGAGAGTATACCCGACATTAAAACATAAGTATGACATCTCAAACCCTGGATGGATTTGTAAAACATGAATAAAACATCTTTTACTCTGAAAGGATTGGTAAACATAAACAAAACAACTCATATCCTAGAACGACTTGTAAAAGAATCTTCAAAAAGACTATGCAGACCCTAAAACAAAATAATCGTGGATGTGGCTTTAAGATATTTTCTGCTAGAACCTAGAAATACCCTTAGAGACAAACTTGTAGTTTCTCTGTAAGGGCTTAAAATAAGTTGGTTTCTTAACTTAAGTTGACCAGCTTTTGAGATGTAGCTGAAACTAATGTTGATTCGAAATCAATTGGTCCCTGAAGGCTCTAATCATCTGAAGTTTTGGGTCTCCACTTTCTCGGATTATTTTGATTTTCTTTCTGTACGAATAGCTTAGAAATAGTACGAATAGCTCAATATTTAGAAAAATGGGCAAGGACTGAATTAGCCACCTAAATAAACCCATTTTTTATCAAATGGCACCATCTTTCTCTTTCCCCCACTCCCTAGAAGAATCCGTTTGAAATCGAGAAGAAACTTGTGGGATCGAGGTTGGCTATTGAGTCACAATATACTCTCTCTCAGAAGTTTCTAGATAACTTTTGTTAGTTTTGGTTCCGCTTCGTAAACATGAAGTCCATTTTTAATTTTTTATGTTTTTAATCAATAGCTACGGTTATCAAGCAGTGATAAAGGGTGTTCCAAAATTTAACTTATTGCACAGGAGATAATAAATTTAATCTTTTTTTCTTTACGCCAAAGGCCCTTATCTTTGCTTGAAGAGGGTTTCGTCTTTACTCATAGTGACGTCATCTGCGACTTTAGAAGCCGATGTTATCTGAGAAACCGATCTTTTTGCATGTTCAAATTTGAAAAAAGTAAAAAATAAACCTTTTTCATTATGAGTAGTTTGACATCTTAAGATATTTCCTTACGCCATGAGATAAAAAATAAACAATGATCTCTTTCTGAGTTTTTTAATCTAATGAAAAGATTAGAAGTAAAGTAATGAATCATTTGTACTTTCATAGGTAGATCTTGAAACATTTGAAATGACAAATGAAGTGATGTTTCAATCAACAACGGCTATAATCTTCTTTTTAATCATTTCAAGCATTTTTTATTGGCTTAGTTCGTTGCATACGGTTGTTTATACTTACGGTCACGTAACACTGTAACCATCACAGATCAGATGTGCTTTTAAGAAATGAAGCAAAATTAGTTAGGTTTTCCTATCCCAAAGGCTAACGATATACGCTGGTGAGAAAAGCCAGTGTTAGACTTTTCGACAAGAACGTCCAGTAAAACCAGTGTTAGAATCATTTTCTTCCTTTTTAATGGCAAGGAATCATTTTCTTTCTTTTCAATGGCAAGGAATGATTTTCTTCCCTTTCAATGGCAAGTATTTCTCACTAGTGTATATCACAAGCCCACTTTTACCGGTCAGTTCATACGCTGAAATTCTTTTTACCCTAAACAACGCAAAGTCAACCTTTTCAAAACTTTAGTGCGCAGGACACTTATGATCTGCTTGAAAACTGAACTCCATGCAGAGCTGGACAAACTTAAAACGATTATTCTGGACAACGTCTATCCGATGTCATTTCTTCTTACACTAGGGCAAAGACATTTTTTGGCTTTCTCACTTTCTCACTAGTGTATATCACAAGCCCACTTTTACCGGTCAGTTAATACGCTGAAATTCTTTTTACCCTAAACAACGCAAAGTCAACCTTTTCAAAACTTTAGTGCGCAGGACACTTATGATCTGCTTGAAAACTGAACTTCATGCAGAGCTGGACAAACTTAAAACGATTATTCTGGACAACGTCTATCCGATGTCATTTCTTCTTACACTAGGGCAAAGACATTTTTTGGCTGTTCGAAACTTCGGTCCACAAAAGTGCCCAGTTTATGATTAGCTATCTTGGATTGGTAACAATTCCTTGCAATTTGAAAGTCAGATTAAACAGGGCACTACACAATGTTTCTTTGCTGTGTATTGCGTATTGTTTACAATACTAAGAGACCCCTTCCACCCATTCAAATGGATTGCGTTCCTATCAGCCAAAAAAGTTCCGTTATTTATGAATTTTCTAGTGCCAGTGTGATTCTGGCTACGTAGGACACACATCCCAAAGATTGGAGGATAGGATAGAACAGCATGTTCATTCCAACATAAGAAAAAAACTGCCTCTCAAAGGGAACGGCCTCCTCGAGCTTGTAGGTCTAAAAACTCAACTTAACTAGTGACTCTGTCATCGGACAACACCTTTTAGACAACCCAGATTGTGCAAAACTCTATAAGACGACATGTTTAAGATAATTGGCAGATCCCGGTCGTCTTTCCATTTCGCAGTTTTGGAATTGATCTACATACAAACAAAAAAGCAACCATTGTGTAGACAGAAGGAGTTCGTTTTCTCTCTTGGACTCCAGTGGTAATTTTTCTATAGGCACGCAGCACTGATTGAACAACTATACCGGTCGTGTGCTTGCATTTTTCTGATTGGCCTATTTTGATCCACAATTTGGAATATATATTTCCCATCGTGTTTTTTCAGACCCTTATTCTGACGTTTTATACTCTGAGGAGTGTCAGACGAAAAATCTTTTAGTATGTTGTGAAATATTTGCTTTTTCAAAGCGATTTTCGATTTCTTTTCCGCCAAAAAATTGTTAAAATAAGCTATTATTGCGCTAAGTTAACTGCGGGGACATCGTTTTGAAGAAAGAATACAGTAATGTAAACAAAGGTGGCGCTTCTTACATAGAACCATTTTTTTACTGTGAATCTTCCATTTTTGTGCCTGCACTTGATAGGCTATCATTTTGAAGGTCGTTATTATTAATTTCATAAATTGTTATCAAAGTTTCATCAGTTTCCAATATTCATTATAGATTTTGAAAAAGATGGCAAAATTTCCTGGCAGCCCTTCCATCGACAAGAAGTCTTTAACTGCTTTGAAAAAGAAACTGGATCTTCTTTCAACAAGTCGATTTTGCAATGTTCTAGCAATGGTTTGTTTATTATGATTTGCAGCCATCTTTACTAAAGCATAACCTTATTTGAAATTACTTGTTGGGTTACCAGTACTTCAGAATGTTATTTCTTTCAACCCTGCAGAAGGATATGCTAAATTTGTGCTCGTCAATTTACATCTTGAACCTTGTGCGCCATTCGCTTTATCTTTTGGACTTTCAGAGTTTTCATTAACCTTGCTGGAAAAAATACAACAATATAAAGAATACGCGTGTCTTAAATAAAGTGAGAAATTCCGAATTTGACAAAGGAATTATGATTGTTTTACTGTAATGAATCGTTTATCAGCCTCACACTGATATTCTAGGGTTGAAAAGCTGGAGCTTTTCGTAAAATTCTCCAATAATTGAAAAAATCATAAATTAGTTCATATTGCTACTAAGTTTAATTTTTTGCAAACAGGGTAGACATATATCCCTACTCTAAACCACTGCCACCCCCCCCCCCACCAAGTTTTAAAGTACCATTATATGATTGATTCATCTATATTTTTTCTTAATATAAGTCTTCCGGTGTCGACATGCCACTACAAAAGAAGCATAACACGGCCTTTCACATGTTAAAAAATTAAAATATTATCCGACAACTTTATTGTAGAAATATTTTGACTAGTTTTTCCAGTTCCTGTCCTATTTTAAGTTATAATAAAAGTATTTATCATACTTCTTCTTAGGCCATCTTAAAATCTGGAAAGATTGATGAAGCTAGAGCATTTGGTTTGTACTTTAAATTTTTTTTGTAAACCTTTTATTAGATGATGTTGAGTATTTGAAAAGTTTTGATCCTTCAAAAATATCATTTTTAAAAGGCCATTCACAACATTTATGCGGTAAGAACATCATACCACATCCAAATTAACCCTTTCCAACGCGATTTCAAAGTATTGTTTTTGAAAAGGCATAACTCGTACCGTTTTATATCTTCTTTTATCTCTTGCAGAAATCCTTGCATCAACATTGATGCTTATCGACCCTACAAACCTGGTTTTGTCGTTGCTTGATGAAACGATCCCTGCAATCATGAGGCGATGTGATGCTTACAAGCTGATTTCAGATCCTCAGGTTTGCTTGAAATTTCTCATCAAAGTACTACTTATTGGGTTCAATAGAGACATTTGTTCACAGCAAGAACATGTGTTGTTTAAACTTTTGTTTTTTAGAAGGATACAGTTACATTCACGTACTTCACGCCAATTTTCGAACGCCAAGGCAAAGCACGTCAATTTTCGAACATTTGTCTACCATATCCAAAATAGTACAAACCTATGATGCAAATAAAATTATATATTAGGAAAGGGTCTCTAATGCAATAGAGAACCAATTGATCTCTAATGTGGACCCGTTTCGCAAGCAAAGCAAATGAAAAGATGTTTTGTCTCCTGTATTTATGATCTTGTCGCAGCATCCATTTATGCAGAAGCCACACCCAGTGATACTCAGGAAAACGTCTCTTGGTACTTTATACTTTTTTGAATCAATAAATCAAGTTGATGACAGAAGATCTAGTTTTGTGACTTGTAATCTCTCGCATACTTTAAAGAATAGAGAGTACTGATTGGTTAAAGCTAGCCACTCAGAAATTTCTTCTTTTCTTTCGGCTTATTTCGACATATGCATGGGCCTAAAACTTTTGTATCTCATTAAACGATCCATACTGATGCCGAATTGAGGACAATTATGCCCACAGAAATTTTTGATTTGTCGAAATGTTCTGAAAACAGTTTCCGTTATTAAACTCGTGTGTCGTATTTCGATAGAAAAGTAAAAATTTTTGAGTGATATAATTTGAAGCTGAAAGTTGCTAGTCTGGATCGTGAATACATTGCAAGTGCCAACAAAGTGTTATCATTCCTCAAGAAAATCTTCTAAAAAGATTAGATATTGCCTTTTCCAAAGGTGTTTATTTTCAGGCGCGAAAATGTTTTCTCTCCAGTTATTATTTCTAGTTTCTTTCTCGCTTGATCTATCAAAAATCAGCTGTTTTCTTTAAGAAGGTCGTTTTAATACCTAAAGAATTTTTTTTATAGAACTTTTAGGTCATTTAATGAAATTTATCAAAATCGCTATGATAAATCTGTATAAGATTTTTTTCATTTTTTTGTTGAATCAGTGACAGTATTATGTTGAATAAATCAACAAAGAGCGTCGAATTGACTTAGATCGCTAGGTGACTGTGTTTATAATCATTGCTTGCGAAATGAATTTTTTGTATTTTATCCCTTTTCATTTTATCCAAGGGCTTCACTTTAGCTAGATTTGTAAGCAAGTCGATCAGCTATGCTTTAATTTTGTCAAGAGCCCAAAAACCATTTGAGTTTGAAAGGTAAGCAAGTGATTTAGCTGTAGCTTTTTCTATTTTTAATTCTACTTTATTATAGTGTAGCAAATAAGTAACACCGCAATGTACCGAGAATAAACAACAATAAATATACGTAAATCAGTGAAGGCTAATATTTCGCCCCGGCATACGGGGCTTCATCAGAGCAAAAGTTAACGAACACTACTTTATTATGTTTGTTCTTACCATTTGAAAGCACCCTTTATTCTGACTAAGATCTTTATCTTTCTACCAAAAGTATTACTGTGGCTTTTACAATGACTTTGAAGCAAAATTTCAGATGGCCTAGTATTCGAAGTTAGGTCTATCGAAAAATGTAATTAGTCTATTCAGAGGTTTAATCTTAGAATATCTGGCATAATCAATCGGAGAATTAATTGCGGAAGGCATGTCAGAAACAATGTTATTTTGTTTCTGCATTTTTAGTTTTGAAGAAGAAATTTAAAAAGAGGCGTTTTTGAGATGAAAATCGATAACGTGTTATAAAAATTCTGAGCCTAATAGAAATGACCTAATTTTATCATGTCTCACCTGAATCATACTACCTAAATCTTTTCCACGTACTCTTTTATGTTACTGTTTAGCAACTTTTGTTTTCTCACTTACCATAGACCTGCAAAAATCTCTAAATTGGACATAGCCAATGACGAATGCAGTGCTACCGATCGGATTTTGAATAGCCTAAGTATGTATCCAATATCTGTTTTGTTTTTGTTGTGAATTCAGCGCTCAGTATAAGATTTATTAGTATTTCGATCAGTTATATATTACTGTTTACATGTCTGTCGTGAAGTGCTCGATACCGTAAAGGCAGATCTGTATACGCTGTAGGTGTAAGAACAGGTCAGTTCTAAGTTGCTACTCCAAGTTTCATGCTTGATGTCATCATTGTTCAACTGTACTCTGCCAACCAACAGGTGGTAGAGCAAGGCTAACTGAAGGCTGTTCATTTAGGAAGAAGCCGCAATAAGTACATATAATCATAAAATGAAGAAAATTATCATGCTTGATGCCATCATTGAGAACCGTTAAAAGCATTGTATGAAATATGCATGGATCATGATTAAAATCCCCCTCTCTTAATTACTCTGAATTACATTCTGCCAGATTATTTACACTTGTGTATAGGTGCAGTTCATGATACTAGGTAAAACTATAATTTTGATTTTATTCGAAATTATTTGTTTCTAAATTGAATGTAAGTGAATCTTTAAAGGACCATGCTTCCAGTATCCTAATTCCCTTAAAGATTTTTCATTCTGCTAAAGCATTCTAAATAGAAAGATCAGAAGATCTTCCATCCTTTCCTCTTTCTTGATAGCCCTCTCGATACTTATGAAATTATAGTTCAGATTTAAGATTTTTGTTTCCTAATCATACTTCATGTCTTCAGTATTATTTGTCAAATCTAGTTCTCTTTATGAACGCTGTGTAGTAATTCAATATATTCTGACATTATATTTTGAAGAGCGAGTACTGCTTACAAAATTGCGAGACTTTTATACAAGAAAGAAAATTTGATTGCAAAATAGAGTCATTGAGAATATAAAGCAAATGTAAAGACCCAATCTACAGAGGAATGATATAACCAACTATGAGATTATATTTTACATCGAAAAAATTTTTCATCATTAAATTTATTTGTAATTTCCAATGTTTAGTGACGCCTCTTGCTAAAAATGAATTGGCTCTTGATTGAGAGCCAAAATTTGAGTGCGCTAGTACTACGAATATCTTATTAACTCTGCCATATTTAAATTTCTAAGATAGTTTTTATAAACTGATATGTAAGAAACAAAGTGCCATTTTTATAACTTATTTCTGTATCAGAGTTATTGTAGAAATAATTAAAGATCGTTTCACATCTTGATTTGATATATTCGTCATCAATCAAAGCTAGTGCCAAAATAGCGAAGTGTTTCGGCCGAGTTTATTTTCGAAAACCTTCTCTTGCTTGTTCTAATCCTAATTGACTAAGAAATTCCAGTACTTCAGAAAGTATCGGCAGCGAGATATCTATTAAGTTGTTGGAAGAATTAATTCTCTTAATATATTAAAGCAGCAACGTAATACAAACCGTTAATTATCAGGCTATGTGCAAACTTCAAAATTCTCTCTCCAAAAATAATACAATTTGAAGGAAAATATCATGGTATAAATCATGCTTGAAAATCTTGTCTCGTCTGTGAAAACAACAACCGCACAAGGAAAATTACGTTCTGGTTTTCCCTGATCCTAGATTGAAGTGGCGTTTTTCCTCAGTTGATACCCATAACATCATTTTCATTTGTTCGGCCTACAAAGCCTTAGATGGTCTATTTCTACATCTCCCTCTTTGCAACGATGTGTCATAGCTAGCTCAGCTTATACACTAATGCAGAAATATTGTGTATGCTTTAAGATGTACACAGCACCTTAGAATTTGTATTTTCCTTGTTTTAGATACATTAATAGAGGATATTCTCAACATCATCAGGAAAGAACAGAATGGGTCCAAAGCGTTGTTTCTGAAATCTCTTCTCGGTCAACTTTGTATTGCCACAATGCATATATATCCGCCACTGCGACTACCACAAGGATTGGTGAGTTTCTTTGGTTACCATTTCTATTGATAGACACAATATGTTACTATTCCTTCAAAAAAAGCTGTTGTTTCTCTAATTTTGATGCTCAGTGTCGTGTTTGTAGTGTCTTTTAAGGTGTCTCTGAGCTAACTATGTATTAAACAGAACAATAAATTGGTAGTTTCCGAGTTCACGCCTTTGCAAGAAATGGACCTGGTGCATGTGATCCCATGTGTGACCTCGTGGGCAGGTTGCGTAGGTTGTTTTCATTGGCTGTTGCAATGGGCTTTTCTCATTGGCTGTTATAATGGACTGTTCTCATTGGCTATTTTAATTTTTCTAATCCCATTGCCTGGTCCCATGGGCTGTTCTCACAGGTTCTTGATCCTATAGGCTGTTCTTATGGGGTAATCCCATCAGCTGTTCTAAAATGGGCTTTTCTGATTGGCTGATCCAATGGACTACTTAACACTACTCTTTTATAGTGAATGAAGAACAGCCAAAAATTAAGGAAATTAAGGAATTTATATTTCTTTAGCAACACTTGTCGATTTAGTTGGGTTGGCCTTGGTTGGTTTACGTTTTCGTAAGAAACATATGCACAGAAATTTTTTGTGTCAAATCTCCTTTATGCTAATTCATATCAATAAATAGATTTTCCATGGGATTTACCATGAGAAAATAGGCTGTATATTAACTTCAGCTTAATGTGTTCCCTATTTCATTTTTAAACTTTTCATTTTATGTGCTTTTGTTTTGTTGTTTTACTTTGATTGTCGTTGATTTGAGAAACGGATCTAGACAATTTGCGTCATTTCATAAGATAACGACTGCTTGCAAAATGGTCTCTCGTGCAAACCTTCATCGGCGATTATTCTAACGCCAATCAAACTTGCACCTTTAGTTACAAAATGTTTCTGTTTAAACAAGGTGTTTTAGTTCACATGGAAGTAGGAAGACTATTAAACGCCCTCTTTATGTACCCTTATGCTGGGTTGAGATGAAAACACATGGGTCTTTATATATGAATAGACCATGGTTCTCAAAATTGCTAGCCTAAGGTTTTCTTATAACCTGATTTTAACAACCAACTATTATTTCTTCTTAAAACTCCAATTTACATCTAGATGATTTGTGTATCTTTGCTGTATGCTATAAGCGTACACTTTTTATCAATCAAAAGCTATTTCATCATTAAGCTTCCTTTGCTTGCTCCAGAACTGATGTTGAGAAAATTCAGCCAATAACAGTTTGGCTATTCTTGCCATATTCCTTTAAAAATCGTAATTCAACTTTCATACGGGAGTTTTTATGGAATCTTCAAAAAGATTTGAAGCTCTTCCCCTCATATGCAGGCAGTTCTCTCTTGACTTTTCATAATTTTTTCCCTCCATTTCTCTTATTGACTAGATATTAATTTGCATCTTTTAGTGACTTTATTTTATGTGTGTGTAACAGATATTTTCCACTCTGTATGATACAATAGTGACATTTTCATCTTCCATATGTTTAAGTTCTCATGTGACCTTTCTTTACCTGCAAAGCTTATAAAGTATTCATTGATTCAACTTCATATGTGTGTTTTTCCTCAAATCTGTTTCTTTAAATATGTACAATGTAACTTTCAGAATCGCAATAGAGCACGTAGCTCGAAATCTCTTCTGAGTTATTTCTACATGTCCTTATGTCCTGAGTTATTATGTCCTTCAGTATTTCAATTTTTCTTCCTAGCAATTTAATGTAAAATATGCTTAATTTACAAAGTCAAGTTTAATCGTTTATGTTAGTATTTTCGTATCACTTGTAGTTATTTAAAATATACTGATAATAAAATGTTGAAGTTGAAGAAATATTTGAGCCCCAACTCAGCCTTAGTTCCCAGGAATGCATAAAATTAACATTTGTAATATTCATCTTGTCCCGCAACAAAAGTCTTGCACAAAATGCAAATTAACAAAAAAAAATGTATATATTGGAAGCAAAAAAATCGTCTATGGCTATCGTCAATCATTTGCGATTGGCAAACGGTTAAGAAATTTTGCAACAAAGTATGTTGTGCACTCATGTTTGATGGACTCGTTTGGAAGATCTTTTTGAGTCAAGTGTCACTTCTATCTGAGCCAACTTCTTTGATCATACAATGATCTTCATGTCTGCTTCTATGAGCACATGGTATAAACACGAGTTACACTTCCTTGAACGGCTGTTCCTCTATGTTATTTTCGACTTTCTTTTTCAACATTACTGCAAAAATATGTTTCCACCCAACTCAAATTGATAAAATACTGTAATAAGACTGCCATGCCATGGAGCATTGGATTCTATGCTGTACCTGTTGTTTCGATGCTGTACGTTTTCTTTTGACACATCACATACAAGAGGGTCATTTGCAAGCCTGTTTCTTTTATTGCTAGTAGTGAACTCCGTACCATCATTTATTTCGTTTTCTATTAATTAGTATCTGCAAATTATTTGCGATCTTTGTGAAAAGGTTTGATTTAACTAGGAATAAGGATCTTTGTGAAAAGGATTGTAATTTACTAGTGTTCTTTTGTGCCTTAGTGTTTTTTTAAGAATCAAGGGTTAATTTTGGTTTTTGAAAGCAACTGGATGTAAAAAGGTTCATTTCCTGTGACTGTCCCCAATTTTACCAATACTTGCCCGATGGGAGGATGAAACGTATTATGACATCATCCTTGTGTAATTCATTTTGTTAGTGGTAGAATGACTAATTAGCTAGTTTTTGAAAGACTTGTGAAAGATAAGAACATAGAATTGCAGTTGAAAAGTAAAGATTTGGGAATGGAATTTTTTCAAAAGTTCTCTGTTTTTATCAGCAATTTTTATGCTATAATTTTTAAAAGTCAATTATTTTGCTGCAAAAAAGCGCTTGTTAATGGTGAGTTGCCAGTGGTTTTACGAGTTTTTACACAGTATTCACAGTTCACTCAAAATCACACAACAAACACTTATGATTTCAATTAAGATTACAACAAACTTTTTTCAATTATGGCATCTATTTTTTTATTGCCGCACAGTTTATTCATGTTTTTGCAAACAGTAAATTACTAATGAAGTTCTTTTGTTAGGGCATGAAAATATTGCAGTCTCTTCATGGTGAAATTCCCAGCGAGATCTTGCTGTTGGTTTGTAACATCGAAGAAAAAAATGGCCGCGAACAACTAGCACATAGACTTGCAATGACGACAGCACAGTGACAGAACACACCCGTTTCTGGTAACGAACTCTGATTTTCCGAGATAAACAAAATGGTTGTTATGGTTTATTCGCCTGTAAATATTCTCTATAGCGTAATAGATTTTCAAATTCACCATCCTTATTTTTCTTTTCGTTTCTCTTTAAAACATATAACCTACTTGAATCTAAAGATTGGCAACTTTTGTATAGCAAATTTATCGAGATAATGCAATTCAGGCTTGTTGAAACAGCGATAAGGTTCTATTTTAACAATGGTTTGAATTATGATATAAGGATATTTCATATTTATGTAGGTTAATTTGGTCTATAAAGAAAGGGTTAAAATTTAAAAGAAGAAAGTTGAAAAGGAACGAGATCAAAATTACAATTATAAAATATCAAACTTTGTGTTTTTCGGATGATTTGAATTTCAAAAATGAATTTTCTATTTGTATTTTACCGATGATATTCTTGTGTGTTTTTAAAAGTCCATTTCCATTCATAGCACCAAGAAATTTGAATTGACAGCTGATAAAAACATGTTGAGATTTGCAAACGAAATGCAAGCCTTTGTTATCTTTAGTGATCCATGACATCAAGAAATAAGGGCTGTCTATCTAGACGATCTAGATGACATTTCGTGTTACAAGATAGCATAATTTGACTACCTGGCAGATCATGCATTTTTAATCAGAGTTTCTCGTTGGCTAGATCTTATCTCTAGCTGTTTTGCACAATTTGTTAGAAATCTCGTGCTAACTTCACTTTTTCGTAAATCTGGATACTGATAAACCATTAATCTGGATACTTCAAATTCAGGTATTTCAATGTTTTTTCTTTAGCATTTTGATGTAATAGAGATTTTAGGGGTCTGGGTTCTAGGTCTGGTCCCTTACTTGAAACTAAGCATCCGTGTTCGCCGTTTACTTCGGTATCTTTTTTTATGTAGCGTTGCTCAGTTTTAAACGTTTATGTTTATTTATTAGTTCAGCAAAGGGAAAAGATGATTAAATCATGTGTAAAAGATTATTCTTTGTTTTGGAAATGAAGCATGGATATTCCATGCAGTGGCGAAACGGAGGCAGCCGGGGGCCTTAGGGATCTTTCAGTTCCGGGCTCCCTAGTTATTAGGCTAAGATACTATGCAAGCTTGGGGCCCTGTACTCATTTGACACATCAAGAATACCACCATTGAGAAAACACTTTTCTTAGGGGCCCGAAAAGGACAGAGGCCCTTAGTCAATGAACTAAAGATGTCTAATTTCACGACGCTGCAGTTTTATGCTCGAACCCCCATCTCAGTGTTAAGGGCTTCAAAGTAATCTAGACGCTTCAAAAACCCCACCGCCCAAGGCAATGATATCCCATGAGCCTTCAAACCACGCTTTTTATAACTGCGTTGTTCCTATGTATGCGTGAGACATTGCAAATCTTATTTGGTCACAGTGAGTCGTTACGATTCGTCACTGTTAGGTCAATATAGATTCGGTTTGGCTAAATTTCATGATCGCAGGAAAATCTGAACCATTTTGCTGTACATTATTTCTCCTGGTTAGCCTACCTTCTTCTGCCCCACCGCCCATCCTGCTCTCTCGTGTCCCATCCTGCCTTCTTCTGCCCTATCATGCCCTTTCTTGCCCAATATTGCCTCCTTTGGATGGACCTACTGGTGATGTCATCTGAACTCTGGTAATATATCTTGGAAACCCCTTCATCCTTGATTACATTTGTTTTTGGCAGGTTCATTTGACAACTTTCAGGTTTTATTGGTCTTATTGTGATTTATCGAGAAGTTATCTTTTTAGGCAGCTTCAGTGCTCTATTGACTTGTCTGAATGAAGACAAGCATCAATCGTTACGCCAATGTGAAAGTAGTTCTGAAGACAGGGTCATGGTTGATGTGGGAAAACCCCCATTTTGATCTATTACACTTGGGCATACCTTGCAGATTGCTTTGAAATTCACGACATCGAAGGAAATTTAAAAACAAATATGCTCAAAATCCTGAAAGCTTCCGGGGTTTTGCCACTGGACACCATTTGTGGCTCCTACCCTAACAATCCCAAAGGAGCTCAAAGTGACGCCTTGGACGTGCCCCTATTTTAGTATCATATGAACTAACACGCTTGTCAACATGCCCTTTGGAGTTGAGTCATCTTATGGTTGCTATAACTACAGAGCTAAGTATCATTTTTAGTTTTTGATCCACTTATATTATCAATACTTTAAGAAACTTTCATTCAACGCTGGCGCAGTTCACTAAAACATCAACCGTCATGCGTGTCTATGGTTGGTCAGCTAGAATAAACAAGCACTTAATTTAAGAGAAGGTTTTCAAAAATTACTTGGTTTCTATTGGACATATAGATAATACATGAACACACTTTCAAGAACATTAAGGAGGCAGTTCAGGGTAAAAATGCTGAATAACTGAAAATATTGACCAAATTCAAAAATTGTTTTTTTGCATTCTGTGATGCATATTCTATGCCCCTGAGGTTGAAAAGCTGGTATTTGAAGCTTTACTTTTGAGAATTTTCGATTTGTTGTGAGACCACTTACAAATTTAAACCTTAGCAACGAATATTTTTTGGTTGCTATGGTGAGTTTTTAACAGAAAAATGCCAAATACAGCAGATATTTAAACCGAGAGAAGTCCCAGGTGTTTGTCCATTGTCCATTCCGTCTTTTCCAGCCTCTTTACCATTCAAAATTGCATTCACTTCAACTCAGTTTCTTCAATCTTGAAGCACCTCGTGAAATGCTTTCAGTTCCCAAACCAAAATGTCGCCTGCTAAAAAGTTTCGATCTATTCGAAGGAAAGTACGTAAGGGATTCAACGGTATAAAGATCCAAGATATTCGTAAGGCAGAACAAATTCCATCAGCGAATGCTAGTCCAGTGCATGCTACAAGTCCTCCTCTTACAAGTAGTGCACAAGGGCCTAGTGAGTCAGGAAGTGTGGCAGACCAAAGTTTCGACCTTGACTCATCCTTCGAGGTTATCGATGAAAGCAGTTATGAGACTAGAAACAGGTCTTTACAGCTCGGTAAAAGATATGAACAAATTCATCCTGCGTGTGGTTTCAAAATTATTGACTTTGATCTGCTAAAACAGAGTCTAGAAGCAGCATTTATTTGCACACTTTGTAAAACCGACAAAACGGGAATTGATATCATGGTAGATGAAAAGAAGAGAAAAGGACTTGAAGAAAGCTTGTCTTTTGTGTGTAAAAATTGTGGAAATGAAACTATACTGCAAACAAGCAAAGCATTAACTGGCAGGAAAGTTTCAGAGGTCAATGCCCGCTCTGTCATAGCTTCATCTTCGATGGGTCATGCCAGATTGTCAGATTTTTGTGGCACCATGGGACTACCACCTCCTCTTGCAAAGTCCAGTTATCAGCAACAGCTGAAAAATGTATGCAAACATATTGTACAAGCGACTGAAGGAGTATTGATTGAAGCTTCAGAGAAGCTGATACAGATAACAGAGAAAGAGGAACCTTTTCAAATACAGTTTGATGATAGTGGTAGGAAAATTGCAAATGTTGGTGTCACAGTTGATGGCACATGGCAAAAACGAGGACATTCTTCCCGGATTGGAGTTGTTTTTGTGATGTCAGTTAGAACTGGTGCTGTTCTTGATTATGTTATCAAATCAAAAACATGCCATGAATGTCGATGTCATGAAAAGGATGACAAGGAGACAGATCAATATAAATCTTGGCATGAGAATCACAAGTCCCGTTGTGAAATAAACCATGAAGGATCATCAGGAGAAATGGAGGCATCTGGTGCAATAGAAATATTTTTAAGAAGTATTGAATCTAGGGGACTTAAGTATATTGATTTTGTGGGGGATGGAGACAGCAGTAGTTTTGGGAGAGTTAAAGAGGCATTAGAGGGAAAATATGGTAAAGATTATGAGGTCAGAAAAGAAGAATGTGTAGGTCACATCCAAAAAAGAATTGGCACTGCCTTGAGAGAATTCAAAAATAAAAGAAAAAGTTGTAAACTTTCAGATGGAAAATATGTTGGTGGTAAAGGGAGACTTACAAAAGTTGTTATTGACAATATTCAAAACTATTATGGATCAGCAATACGAAACAACAAAGGATCGATTGATGGAATGAAGCAAAGTATCAAAGCCATTCAGCATCATTGTATCATAAACAACTATTTATCATTGGAAGAACAACACCAGTTTTGCCCTAAAGATCAAGATACATGGTGTAAGTTCTGGAAGGAAAAGCTATACAATGATGGAAAATATTGCCAAGATAAGAGGCTACCCGGTGTATTTTTTGAAGAACTAACACCAATATTTCAAAGGCTTTCAGATGATGCATTGCTTCAAAGATGCCTGAAAGGATTGACCCAGAATCAAAATGAAAGCCTTAATGGTCAAGTGTGGACAAACAGGTGTCCAAAAACAAAGTACTGTGGGACCACAAAAGTTAAAATAGCTGTTTGTGAAGCAGTTTCCATGTGGAATACTGGAGCTGCAAGTAGAGCTCTGCTGATGAGATCTTTGGGTATCAAAGACCTTGGTCCTCATACCTTGAAATATTTGAGGAACCAAAATAAAAAGAGGCTGCAAAATTCAAAAAGGAAATCTAGCATGGAATTTAAGACAAAAAGGAAAGCACTGCGTCATAAGGGTAAGAAAAATAAAAAAAACTCAGATAAAAAGTCATATAAAGCAGGTTCTTTTGATATAGACTCTCTACCTGAAGTCAGACAAAAGAAGAAAAATAAAGCAAGAGGAGCAACCAGAAAGCAAGTTGATGATGAACATAATAATAAGAGAAAAAGAATTGATTCAGAAGATGATAGCAATTGTCAAAATATAACATTCATTGATGAAAAAGAAATAGCTGTTCTAACAGAATTCAAGAAAAATAAGGTCTAAAGGAAGATTTCTGCATGGAAGTTTATTATAAAGACTAAATTGTACAATATTTATCACCAGGACATTGGTTTTATCTTATATTTTGGTATCATTTTGGTTGTGCAATAATCCTAAAACTTTACTATGCGTTTTCTCAACATATAATATTGTAGACGTGCGTATAGGAAAACATTGATAAATTTAAAATCTGTTGCCAGATCAAGCTCAAATTTTCACAGTATATGTATTTAAGATGGTTCTATGCAATGAATTGACAAGTTTACAAAATTTGTTGTTGAACTAATTTGAACTACAAAAAACTATTTTTTAGACATTCCCCCCTATTAATTGATAATTTTGAAAAAACCCCAATACATTGCACAGCTTGTTGCAATGCAGATTCTGTGCAGAAGTTTCAGCTTCCTGTGGTTGATAGAACTTGTTTTATCAATGTCAAAGGCAAAAAGAGTACACTTGTTTACATATTGTTTCCATGGAAACCAATTTACTTTTTTCATTAATAATTATCAAAAATTGTTTCTTATTTCAATGTCATCCACTAGCAGAAAAATTGTGTATGTATTGACACTTACACCAAAGTTATGTTGGTTTTGTTAAAACTAACATTTTTTCAAATATAACATGAACTGCCTCCTTAAGCCTCAATTTGCCAAAAAAATCAGAATAACGAAAGCCTCAAATGATATTAGAAGAAAAAGTCAATATGTGTTTGAAAATGTTATCTTGTTTTTACAAAGCAGATAACATTTTACCAGGTTCTAAACCGTGCTACAAAAAAAGTCATTCAAAACTGTTGATTAGTGGTTTTGCCAAAAATTTATTGTTTGTGGTTGTAAAGAAGTACTTTTCAAAATGACAACGAAATTGAGAACACACATGTCACGAATTTTAAAAAAGTAAGAACATCGGACCTCGGCTCAAATTAACTGGCTTTTTTTAAGAAAAAGAGGCTATTGGTACATTAGTGATGTTTCAAAACTGCCTAGGTTTGAAGAAATGAATCTTTTAATTGAAGTTAGTACATAGGTTGTTTTTACGTTTGTGGTTGAGTATGATTCCACATATTCAGGCCCTATTTATGACATCGGAGTCGATGATTTATCTTTTTATTAGAAGACTTTCTGGACGTTGAAGTGTTAAGTAGAAAAACAAATTTTTGTAGCACTGATCTAGAAGGGCCAGAAGAACAAAAATTCTTTATTCTGACGAAATGAGGCCACTAGAAAAGAATATCAAGATTGCTAGAAGCAGGAAAAGGACCGGAGATTGCCATGAAATTGAAGTAGGTTTACCTATTCGGTCAGTAGATGCATAAGAAGGGAACAGAGGCGAAGATGGAAGCCAGTGAAAGAATGAAATAAAGGGTATATTCGACTGGGATAATAGCAGGCACGTAAATAATAGGGGGCGTGGGGGGCGTAACGCCCCCTCCAAAGTTTGGAAAATCCAGTTACAGTTGGAAAACGTAACGGTTGACTTGGAATTTTTTTCTTAAGACCAAACTTGTGAATTTTATATTTTAAGAAGTTTTTTTATTTTAAATATAAAAATTCTAAACATTAAAATTCACAGGCTGAAGCTGACCCATCCAATCGTTTTCTATTGTGAATCCCGTCTCCACTAGATCCAAATTGCACACTTGCCCCGTTTTCTTTTTCTTTCTTTCTGACGGGAGTTGAATCAAATTACGAACAGGCAAGGTGAATTTCCGGGTAAGAAACTTGAAACTTACAGTTTGGAATAATAATACCCGCATTGATCAGAAAATATTAGAGTGGGAATTTTTTTAAGAAACTGCGAGTTGTTAATTGAATAAAAGATTAAGAATCTTTCAGTGCTAAAAATTCTCAACGCTTCTTATAAAAAACGAGCTTATGCTAAACTCCCCCTGTTATTTGTTAATGTCCTTGAGTTCTTATCATAAATTCCTATGACAAAACTGCTGTGAAGCAAGAACACATTGCAAAACCTGCAGTAGAAGTATTTGATCAAAGAAGAGTGTTTCATCTTTCGAATCAGGCATATGCACAAGTTTGTTCTCAAATCATCATTTCAATTGTAAAGAATGAAAAGGCATTTGGCCCTCTGAAAAGTTTAAAGGTAGTTTTCTTCGATCAAGATCAAAAATAAAAGGCTCAAATTCTTGGTGCTTCTATATCGTGAAAAAAATGTATTTTAGATAAAATTGATCAATTGATCTGAAAGAATACTACTAATCATTAAGTATATCTAATACTGGTTTTGCTTAAATGTTGCTTTACTTCTTACAGTAAGTTTAATTTTTGTTTCATGGTAATCAAAATTTAGAGATTTAGGCTTTTATGCTTTAGGCTAATTATTGAGTAAAGATTTGGTAATTATAAAGAAAATAGAAATATGGTGTTCGGGCTATTTACAAACATCAATTTGGTAGGTACAACAGATTTACTGGTCGAATGAAAAATTTCGCACTTAAAGTTGGAATTTTTATCCTTCCACGCCCCTCCAAAATTAGCAACTTGTTTTCGTCCCTGGATAATAGCATGGAATGGAGACGGTTTATGGTATGGTTCACCAGGATTTATTTTTGACTGGATGGTCACCACTGCATCCAATCAAACAAAAGGCGGCAAAAACAAAAGGCGTAGCTTGCCTCAACATAGAATGTTGGCACATCTTCCTTTTAAAACCTTCAAAATTATTGCAGATTGGACTGTATAACATAATTACTCAGGGTACGTTAATTAAGCAACAAATACGTTATTATAAAAATTTATCAACTGACAAAGTATCCCGCCCCACCTTGTTTCATTCTTTTCCATTTGGCACTCCTCCATTCTAACTTCCCTGTTCAAATCACCTCCAATTTCAAGGTGTTATCGCCCCATCCCTCTGAATCTCCATCTGGACCCCTTTATATCATAATTTCTAACACTTCCAGCCCAAAAAATCCCTACTGTATGATTATGATGATGATTATACCATAAATAATTAACTAGAATGACGTCACATCCTCTTTCAAAGACAAATTCAATTCAAAAGATGAGATCAGATGCGACCAAATAAACAGGCAAATGTGATGTCTCCTTGATGTATGAAAGTATTCCAACTTGATGCATTAGATGTCTAAAGAAAAAGAATGAGAATTCGTACTACTGCTTACTTTTAAAAAACAGGCAGGTCTTCTTCAGGAAACTGTTTATCTTCGTTGCTCGGGTAAGCACCGTTTTTAAAGCTACGATCATATTGTGCGGAAACAAATATGGAAGCGACAACAAAGATTTTGCTGATAACGGCCAATATCGGGTCGTTATTCGAAGAGGTTGGTAGATTTTAGAAAACCTATCCTGTTTTATTTGAACGGCAAGCGAAGTTTGAGTGTTGACAGAAGCTCGCCATAGCTACATAGAATTTTTCCGCGTTGCATTAATCCCTAAACAAGTTTGGACATCCTGGTTTTGTTTTTTATTTAAAACTTTACCAGAGATATCTTAAAGTTAGGATTCCCGTTATCATAAAAATTTCGCTTATTACACGTCTACCCTAGCTTACATATGCCAGTTTTTTGATAGGACAAGATATGCAAAAATTGAAATTATTTGGTCTTTTATTGCACGATAAGTTAATGCTACCACTTAAGAAGTAAAATTTATTGCATTAGAGAGTTGATGCAATTTACTGTTCAACTACATTGTATATACCAGGGTCCGCGCTACTGACCAGCAATGTAAAGAAAATCCCCACATTCCCCCCCCCCCAACCTTTACCCCCAATTGTAGAAATCATTTTTCTGACGCTGTGTTACTTTTGTGGACTTTGGTTCAATGTATTTGTTGTAATCTAAAATTTTGTCTATATAAATACATAAAGCTTATTTAGTCTTACATTTAGCAAAAAAATGGGGAAGGCATGCCCCCTGCCCCCCTGTGGTGCTGGCCCTGTAGACATATTTTGGAACTGTCACAACATCCATTGACACAATATAGCTCTATTTCCAAACTTTTTTGCACAAAATCCTCATTAGCTAATTGAATATGTCATTTCGTTTTTTTAGCCATCCTTAGAAAAGATTCAGTCAACTTGGTTTGCTGAGATACTTAAGGTGAGAAATGATTTCTCAAGAAATTTGTTATGTTATGATTTATTAATTTATATTCTTAGGTTGTCATAGGTGCAGGTTTTTCCTTAGAGAAAAGTGGCAGAAAGCACAAAGGGTTGTAAAAATAGGTGTCCCTGATGTGATAGCAAGTGCATTATTTGTAATTGTGTAGTTGTTGTTTATGACAGAAAATGGAACAAGAACAGAAATTGTTTATTTTCTAGTTTAGAGAATGCAGTCCTTAGTTTTTATAGATTTTCTTATGCCTAGTACATGCTTCAGCCACAAGGATATCTGCTACTTGGTATTAAAGATATGCTTGGGTACCTTGAAAAGATTTGTTGTGGGCCAGTTAACAAAATCCAGGTAGTAGTACCCCAAATGTAATTATTATTTCCAAAAATAAAGGTTTGGAAATATAAAGACTGCTGGCCAAGCTTTTAAGTCCATGTTTTATAATATTTAGTAAGAACCTGAAAGTGCCAGTGTTAATTACATAAATACAAAAATGCATTTTTATTGCAAACAGCAATAATGCTTGGTATGAAGTTGAATTGAGGGTTTATTTTTACAATATCTGGTTATCAATCATCAAAAAAGTTTCTAGACTAAAAGTAGGGGGACATCAGCTCTAAATCCCACCTTTTTGAAGCCTCTGTTATTTGTTTATATGCCCTTGTTGCCCCCAGCAAAGGAAACAATGCTAGATTCAACAGGCTAGTTGATGGTATGCAGATTGTCAAAGCTCTTTGTTGCAACATAGTTTATTTATATTCCCTTTGTGCATTTCTAGGTTGTCTATTTTGTTGTTCTACGAGACAAGTTTTTAGGATGCTATTTGACCTTTAGAACCTTTTACGAGTTGACTGACTTGGGTTAAGTATATGCAAAAAAGAAGAGACACTGAATTTGAAAGTCCCTCAAATTCTATGATTCTTGGGAAATTAACATTCATAATAAGCAATAGGCTAGTGCAAGGCAAATTATGAGAACAATCTAATAAAAGTAAATCTGATTTGAAAATCCAAAATCTATATATAAAGTTAATTCGGCTAATGCTTTGCCCCAGCATACATGGTTTGGAATTTTAAATTAGATTTGCTTATACTGGACTGCTCCTCTTTGTTTTGTGTGTTTCTGCCCATTGCTTATTAGGTTGACTAGTTGGATGACCCAATGTTTAATTTAAATATAAGTTGCTATATTGCTAAACTATTTGCTGGGGACAGCTGATGGTATTTTCGCTATTCAAATCAATCTGCATTATATATTAGGCCTGGCCATAAGACTTTTAGCAGGGGAGTAGTAAATATTATCTTATATAATATTTAACATATAATATATGATATACAATATAATATTATTTTAATTTATCTTATTTTATACAAAGTAACTGTACCTTGATGCATTTTTTTATTAGCTGGTTAATAGTTGTCAGCCAGAACTCCTTGCAATTCATTGTCAAGAAGTTGGAGGGAAAAAGTCAGAAAACAATAGAGAGCTGGTGCATCAGTTTGTTAGGTAAGCCAATAGTGTCTTTGAATAAGAGTGTAGGTCCATGTCAACACTTGAATCCTGTAGTCTTTATTTCAACTAAAATTTACTTTATTTTTATCCTTCACTTAGTGTCTGAGCATCTGGGAAAGAGATTAATGGCAGATCATCCAATAACTTTTGTTGTTTGCTGATCGAGCAATTGTTCAATCAGCCAATGGCACACAAATAAGATAACAAATTGAATGAAGCCTTAATTCAAATCTTCTTTTTTCAATTTTCAAAGTTGTAAGATTGATTATGTATCAAAGCAACTTTTAATTAATCAAGCATTTTGTGAAGGTGCTTCTGAATCTGGTAACAGCCGAATGTGGCTTTGAAATTCTTTGATATAATGCACTGGGATTCTATTTCATTCTCTGTAAACTCTCAAAGTCAGTTATTGTTTGGACCTTAGAGAGCCTTGTGGATTTCAAATTAGACCATTTTTGTTGGCAGCAGGAAATATTGGCTTATAGATATTAAGGTAAGGTCTTGTGAGGGCCAAGGAATATCATAAAACTTACAGATTTTCTGATAGATTCTGATAGATTTCAAAATCCTCAATATATTTTCATAGAATTTTACACCTAGGTTAAGCATGATTTTGTTCTCTTTAAAGGGGAACAGTTTGCACAAATTCAAACTTTTTTGATACCATTTTGATTCGGATCTTGCAATACTACTGTCCTGGTAGCATGGTTTTAATAGAAAATTCATCAAGGTTTCTTCTGAAAGTCCTAACATTTACTCTCTTCCCTTAACAAATTAATAGGGAATAAGTTCCTGGATATTCAAAGTGTTTATGTTAGCAGTTTGATACAGCCTTTAGACTTCAGCAGTGATTTTGTGTCTGTATTTGTTTATTGGAATCAATTACTGAAGAGAAATCATTGAATGTTAATTTTTGTATGCTCCTAGCATTTAGACTTTAGATTCAAGGGCCATTTTTCAGTTTCTTGCTAGACAGCATCTTACTTTAAATCCAAGTTCTGCACTTCCATTCCTTTACAGTTTAATTAGATATGTATTCTTCATCTAAAATAACGATAATATAGTTAGCAAATAAATTGAGTACCAGAATGAAAATATAATAGTTTGATTGATAAAAACACAACGTTTCAAGCATGTACTCATTACCAAGTTATTGTACCTGACTTGATAACAAGTACATGCTCAAAACGTTATGTTTTTAACTTTGTAATTTACCCAGAAACCAGTTTAAATCACTAAATTTGTTGAAAAAGCATGAAAACATCCTTTTTTGAGAAAAGAGGAAAACAAACAGATAAAACGATATATGATATTCCCAAGCTTTGAAATATTTTTATGTTACAAATATTTTATCTTTGACTTAAAAGAATTTATTTCTTAGTCTAAAGAGGATTGATGATATTTTTATATGGTTTTTTTGCATAGGACATTGTTCAACAAGGATGAATTGGCAGTTTATACAGCAAGTATTGCTTACTTGGATGAAGATTACAAGGCTGAAGACAAGTACACGGTTCGTGAATAGAACATTTGATTAGGAATTGTTAGTGAGATTTTATTTTGATAGGTACTTAATTTGATTGGTACTTTCACTGTTTAATAATTTGGTTATTATAATTATAATTAGTACAACAAATTTGAGAGTGTAGTATTAGTGCACTAGCCCTTTATGTCTGAATTATGACACAGATGAAATTATCTTTAGGTCCTTTTAAGTGCTAAATTATGTATCCCTGGCAAATTATCAGAGAAAAGGTATATAAAAGTGCAGTTTTGGAATCAGGTGGGACTCCTATTCCACTTGGCATGGAATGAACCAAGAGTAAATTTCTAAGCAGCTGATTCTACAATTTCAGTTTAAACATCTCAACTTTTTAACTGATGAATGCCTTTGCCACATATTTATTGTACAAAATTGTATGACGTTTGCAGAATACAAAGCAACAACAATCTTTGTAATTATCTTCCTTTTAGGCTCTAGGAAGTTTCTATTTTGTGCGAAATGATTTGGATGCATACCAGTGGCACTATCAAGGTATTTCAGAATTTGCTTCTATTTTCTTTATTTTACATAGGAAGGTAGTTCTTTTTTTATCTCATTAGTTATATGAGCAGTTATGAGAAGTTGTACAGATAGGGATGTAATGCAAATTTTTGAAGCTCTTTGAAGTCTTTGTTTCTGACGCAAGATACATATTGAAATTCTTATCACTTATTGTAAAGATTCCTGCTTTTTCTGAACTGATAATGCTGGGAATTTTAACAGTGTTGACAGACAGAGAAACAGTACTGTGTCACTATCAGGATGATCCAACAGGTGCCAATTCATTGGGCCGAAGAATCGAAAAACAGCCTTTGGAAGGAACTATTTTTTCAGAGTAGATAGGTCACTCGTGAGAAGTTATCAGTGTGCAAGGATTAATCTTTACGTGCTTGGCAGTAATCTGAGCTTTACATAAAATTAAACCAAACAACTGATGTCGATTATATTAATCTCAATTCTACCTTTCCATGGGCACACACTAGGTTAGCTGGTGAGCAGATGGACAATTTAAGCTGTGTTTACATTCTCTTCTCTGCCAAACTAACCCGTAGACCTAATGTAACGCTCTTGTTTAAAGCGTTTTAAGCTGGCGAAATTCCATAAAGGTGATTGGTGAAGATATTTAGGCTGCATCCACATCTAGGTTATGTATTGATTGAGAAAATCCAAACAACTGCTGTATGTGGTCTAATCTGTGACACTCTGTATCTCTTCTAAGTTAAAAAAAGAGATCGATACACAATCTTGATCACCTGAAAGCTAACTTGTATACCAGAAAGTTTTTATCAGTATTGAATCAAAATCGGTTTTCCACAATCAAGCCGAAGATCTACTTAATTGAAGGAACGTATAAAATCCCATTTCGATTTGCTAAGAAATGATCAAGAATCGCGTTTTTTGAAGTAAAATGCTTAGTATCGAGGCGTCCGTTTTGCTAATTTTATTAACAATGCTTGTAACTATTGAAAATGTATTTGAATTGATCTTACGACCTGTTTTCAAAACATATTTGCATCGAAACGCAATACATAGCTCTTCGATACACCTTCTGGTTCTTAATAAATTATGGGAAAGTTTTATGATTTCATTAATTTCAAGTCGGCACTTTAGATGCACGATGTAGATTTAAATCTTAGCACTCAAGTTTATTGAAATTTGCCACCGACCCACCTGTTACAGGTTAATTTACAGCTTTGCTTTTGAAGTCGGAAGTATTGCGCTGTTTTTAATGATAGGAAACTTTTCGCAATTTGGTTTTCTGTGTTCTGTGGTACAATTGTTGTAAATACTAAGTTACACTTCAACCTATTGGGTACTAACATTATTGATTACTTCAAATCATATAATTTTCTAGACCTTGTTAAATTAATCGCCTTCATTGGGATAAGCAAATTTTCCAGTGATACATCACTGTTTTTCATTCAATTTTGAAATGTCCTGTTTCAAAGAAATAGTCCTTTCGTTTTTGTCATGTATGTTATTGTCTAAAAGGCGAACGATGAAAGTATTGTCGCAAAAATAGGATTATTTTATCGTGATTTTTTTCTCTTCTTATTATACAGGTATATTATTTGAATTGGTTTGATTTTATCGCACATATTTACTTGACATGCACTAATTATCAGCTGAGATAACTAAAATTTTTACTTGCATGTTGACGGACACTGTTGGCATTATTTAAGCAAAGCCATGCATAAGTAGAGGACGTAGCGGTTATGAAGACTTATAAATAATAGATTTTGATGGATTTTTAATTAGAAAAACATATTTTTGATCAAAACGTGACGCGCTATTTTTTAGAAAAACTCTTACTCGATGATGCACTACTTTGTTCCTTAGGCTTTTAGCTTTGAACCTTTCCGAAGCCGCAAGGTCATAATTACAAAAATCAAAGCTAGAGCAGATATAAAAGATGAGTGTTCTTACCGCCAAGAACAATTGATCGTTAATTTTTGTTCCTTCGTAGCATGTCAATTTAAGCCAGTGGTACGAGAGAAAGAGGTAACATTTAAATAGTCTTTAGTTCTCAGCCTCTCTTTGTAATCATCAACAGGGTTGTGTTTTGTATCATGTGACAATTGAATCAGAGTTTCAAGCTAAGAGCTTGTAGATTTCTTATTGGCGTCAGAATAAATGTATTTTACCAAATACGATAGTGAAACAAAATAGTTTATAAATTCGCATAAACTTTATTAATTTGAATGTCGTTGCAAAAAGTGCCAAGCATTTACAGTTCTAAATTTGTTACATGTTTTGGATTTTAGTGTTCATGTTTCTTTGTGATCATTTGTGATTTCAAAAGCATCAAGTCACGGTAAAAGGAGAGGGTTTTTCCTAAACGTACCCAAATATGCTGAGTCATGATTTTTGTGCTGCGATGCCATTGGTGGGCCTGACATTGATCACATGAAGTTGCCTTGAGCTAGTTTATGAAACCCCATTCCGTCGATAGCAAGTTGTGAGCAACGGATGCTGATATCACATGAAACTACAATGATCATGCTGAAAACAAATTTCCCCCTGAAGAGAAGGCCTATTTATCATGACTCGATGCTTTTAAGAGCAAATATGGCAGAAACACCCCTAAACCAGTAAGATTGCTAAACAATTCTGCATTGCTAAGCGCTAGCTTAAGTATCGTCCTATGTGTAGAGAAGTAAAACTGTGATTTTCTTGTTACAGTAAGCCACATTTGGTCGATTTAATGTCAATTACTCTCTGTTTTTTAGATTACTCCTGTGCTAAAAAATGTGGAAACTGTGCAGAAGCAAAAATTCCCGTTAAACTGTTTCCCAAAAGTAAGAACTTTTTAAACATGTTTTTGATTTTGTCTGATCAAAAAGGGGGGTCTGGCTTTTTGCAGGTAAATAAAGTAGGTTTTTCAGGGTGAGAGGACAATGATTAGTAGAAAGCCAATGAGGCATGTCTTTGTTCCTTTTGCCTGATTATAACTTCTATGTTTTATTTACAATTTTGACACCACTGAACCCTTTATCGTTAAATTTGTGGCTTAGGAAAGCAATTTCGATTAACGAGGACTTTCATGTCTACGCATAAATAAGCAAATGATTCTCTTAAATTATTTGTTCTTTTAAAAGGAGCTCAGTTTTGGATATGTGTCAGAGCCCGAGCAAATATATTAAATTATGGTTTGATGGGCAAGTTGGAACATGATTGGAATATTTCCCCAAGGCATTTTAAACAAAGAGCTTTAAAGTATTAAGCAAATTAAAAAGCTTAAATTGTTCAATCTTTTCACTTAGTTTCGTTTACACATTGATTCCGAAAAATATTGTATGTACGCCTAAAATCCAAATTTATTTGTACTCTGCATGGATTTGTCTTTGTATCAAGGCTTTCTAATGCTATAAACACATGCAGTTTGCTAATTTCCATTGTACGCCCTTGACGTAAGATTTATTTATGTGAGATAGAAATTATTTTAATTTTTTTAGAGAAAATGGTCACGAAAAGGATTCATGACAACCAGATGGAAAATTAATGGAAGGTGAGTAAAAAGAAAATTTTTAACAAAGCCTGGTAATGATGAAGCTAGGATGTTCTAGCGGTGGGGCAAATGGCAAGAAAATTAGGGTGGTTGTGAATTTGACTGGCAATCAGACTGGGGATCTAGTTGATTACGCCGTCCCTTTAATTCAAGTTATGCATCTGTATTTTGACTAAATGTTTTTATGTAACGAATTATTTTTTGTTTTTTTTTGCCAGAATTTTGGAACTGGTTAACATACACCTTGTCCATGATGTGTCGAATGTCAAGGCAATACAAAAGGTAGGGATGTGCATATCTAATCACGTAATGGTGTTAAAGATGAGAGGCCAAAAGTTTTCTGATCCCTACATTAATTGAACATCATGCTTTGATATAATGTTTTACCATGAAAACAAAAATAGCATGTTTAGAAGATCGTTGTGCCATCGGTGCAGTTTTTCACTGTATATTTTACGAAGGTTTTTTAGAATATGAAGCTCCATTAATAAGATAGATAGCATAAACCTCAACCCAAATCGTTCTGATTTGTTTTGCTTTTCGTTGTTTTGTACCCCAATGGAGAATGCTTTGAAAATTAGCACATACTAAATGAACCTATCTACTTGAATTTCATTCATACGTTTAAGTAAAGTATGCAAGTAAATGTACAATGTTGCGTTTTTGAATTGCAATACATGGAAGGGTATTTCTAAGCACAAAGTCAATTAGAAAATTTGAAAGTAGCTTAATTACGAGGAGGTGACTGGGAAATGTGCTCATTCGAATTCTAAAAAGGGACTTGGTTTTAATTGGGGCCCAAAACTGTTTTGTTCCTAGCACAAAAAATAATTTCAGAAAGCGATTCATTCTGATTTTGGCGCAGCATACACATCTTCCATTTCTTGTAAATTAGTTCTCCTATCTCTCTCCTTTGTTATTTTTAGCAGTTTGTGTTCTTTCTTTCCCCCTCTTTGTCCTTCAGGTACATTTTCTGCCATCCATGTGCTCAAACTAGTCAAATACTTTCTGCGTGGTCTTCCTCTGCTTTTCCTCCCTTCAATACTTCCCGTAAGAGTTAAATTCTCCAAACTTTCTTTCCTGATAGCATGCCCCAAGAAATCCAACTGCCGCTTTCTAACTGTTGGCAGTAGTTCTCCTATGCTTAATTGAAAATATTCTATGAGCCCCCTCGTGGAAAAAAAATTTTCTCAGAAAAAATTGTCCGGAAAAGTGCCAAGATGAACTTCAGAAAGCAAATTTTTTTAATTGAACCTCAGGTCAACGTTATCTCAGAGTGCTCTATTAACATTCTTTAAACTTGTTCATTTAATGCAAAATTCTACCTTTCTAGACAGGAATTGCATTTCAATTAATTAATCCTTCAACTTTCTTTTGATCTAACCAGCGCAAATAAGCTATTTTCAAAATATTCTAATACCGAACAAAAGTTTCCTATTAATATTTAACATTTTAGATGTCGATTGCTTTAAAAAGCGTCATAGAATTGGCAATTACGCATATTTTTCGTGACCTATCAAATTTAAGGGAAAAATTCCAGCATTCGGTAAGTTTTAAACCCAGCAGGCTACATAACGTAGAATGATCTCTGCGGTTTTCATTATGAAAATTTGGGAGAAAAATCTCTAACTGGTTTCATCCCTATCACACAGATCGTGCCTAGCATCCCATTCAATTCTGTATTTAGTTCAACTTCTTCTGATGAATATTGATAGGCAGCTTTGGTAATATCTTGTTATTCGTTAGCAAATAATGCCACGAATCGTTAATTGCTAGCTGGTAATGCTGATTGTGATACCTCAATAGCCAAGCTTTGAGGTGGCCTCACGGTATATCTTCAGCTATGGTGCCTATGAAAACTGCTGCTCTGAAAGTTCTTAATCCACTGCGCTACGAACAATTCTATGATGAAATGAGATCTTAAAACTTCCATTTTTGGCAAGCAATATGCTGATATTTTTGCATAGAAAACATTTCCACATAGCACATCGTCATAAAATATCTAATGCTTATAAAAATCACTTTGGCTTGTTATGCCTTTCTGTGAGAACATCACTTTTGCGGGATTGATAATGCTAGTTCTCACTCTAATCTAATCCTTAGAACAGGACGACCCAAAACTTTAGATTTTGCACCATTTGACTGCTAACGTTATACTCTTTAAATTTTAGATCTGGGTAGCGATCTAAAAGCGGATTTTTAATCTACGTATAGATTGACAATCTCAGTCTAACCTTGTTAGTTTCTCTATTTTAGTCTCCATCCAAATATTCACACTATCGAAGACTGTGTCTACAACACACCCTTGACCAGTAAGTAATTCATCTTCCTTTCAATTCTTCGAAATCATTGGGAAACATTGTTTGAAAACTGGATATCAGACTTCAAATTATTCATGCCTGCTTAAAGCCCTGGAAAGCCCAAAAATTGGTCTGTTTTCTTGGTAATTCCTTTCCCGAATGCTACCTTCTTCTTTCATTCTTTTCAACCCCCGTCCGCCCTTCCCCTTCCTCCTGAGAGCTGGGTTGATAGTTGAGTTTAAATAAATTTTATTGTTAAAGCCCTTAACAGAATTTCGAGCCTAATAACATGTAGCAAAAAAGTAACTGCGAAATATCATACCTGTCACATGAAAACATGTTTTTTATCATCTTTCTTCGCGACAACCAAGGTTGTTTTAAAATGGGACAATGTGTAGTTGGGCGTCTTATGAACTGGTGCTAGTTCTCAAAGAACTTTCGTAATTAAGCGTATTTTATCAAAAGCCAAAGATAAAAAATTAAGCTTTCCCCCTACTATGATATTTCCCAAACTATCAAAATTGTTCTCATAGGGGTAATTTTTATAAGGAAATAGTAATTTTTGTGGAAAAAAATGAAAATATAAAAATACAACACCAATATGCTCAGTGTTTCAAGTAATTTTCGTTGGCAATTTGTAAGGTTTCCGTTTACCTAAGATGTTCGAGGCATCAGCAATATTATGTGGTACTGAAATCATACTTGTCACCTGATACTGAGTAGCTTATTTTCTAATTAAGTTTTGGAAAGGATAATCTAAATCAGATTTGGGTTATTTGCTGGCTTATTGGATTGTCTCTTGCGTCAAGATGTCCTTAATGAAATGAGGTGTTAGTTATGTCAACTTTTTTCTCCTTGTTAATATCACGTTAATATCACATTTGTTATATCAATTGCCTTTCAAGGATTTTGTCTGGAGGTTTATTCAACGAATAATTAATTATATAATGAGGTACTTTTTCCTTACTTTCAAAGAGACTCCAATTTTCAAATTTTTTTCGTGTCAGTGTTCTTTTCCAGGGCCTGTTTCCCATGTAATATTTTTCTCGATATTTTATAAGAACACGAGCCTTAAATAGGTCAAATATTAAGAACAATTAACAAATTAAGAACAAGCTGAGGCTCGAGCTACTGTAAAATGTAATTTTGAGAAATGTTTCATCTCAAAAACGAGGAGTTTTTTGCCATCGTTGGGTGCTTTTTCGGTGAATTTTCATCCTTGTCGGCAAATAAAGCATATCTGACTCCCTTTATTGGTAAACGAGGCTTGAACACCTTCCTAGAGCGCAATAGCTAGTGACGGCACTGCTTATACCCTATTGATTTAAGAACAAATTAAGAAGAATCCAGCCTCAAATTTTTGAAAAAATTAAGAACAGCCAGTCTGAACTTCAATTTACTGGTTCTTATAAAAAAAGTGTGTTGTATAAAATCAAAGCTAGTTAAAAGTGGCTTCACAGTTCCACCGCAAAGTAGATGAAGCTCAATCGCCCTCTTTTTGTGATCAAATCTTCTTTTTATGTCCGTTGTGCTAAAACTATTTGATCAAGGCATGCTGGTTTTGCACTTAAGTTCAATGTTTACCTTCCAATTCCCATAGATTAAACAACAATGAAACAGACCACCGTATTCTTTTTGGCGACTTCAATACGAGACTTGACACAAAGATGTTTGTCGAGGTATGTACACTTAGACAGAGGTGTTTCCTTGCCATGTCTCTGTTTATTTCCACCCATCGCAAGTAGAATAACATGAGTCGAGTAACCTTATTCACCCCTCCCCCCCCCCTCCGAAGAAAGACGTAATTTCATTTCCTTTGTTTGAATTTAACTGATTGGTATTGTTTTGCCCAGTTGTGGGAGTCTGGCTTGACATCGAGATATGAGGGATGGCGGCCCTATGCCTCTGCTCCTACAACAAACGAAAGGCCGCAATGCACCCACAAGATTCACTGCTGTCAAGTTAAACACAAACGGTTGGGGTAAATGATGCCCCCTTCTGATTCACTCAAAGTGTGGTACCTCGTTTTTAGCATAAATGCCAAATTAGGGGGAAGATAAACCTCCTTGGTTGTTATTAGGCCGAAACTTTTATGTGCGTTTGAAGCCTATATTTCCACAACGAAATTTCTTTTAGCTGCATGTTACATGTAATGTAATAGAAATGTAAAAGAGTGTCTTGAAGATAATGTTATTTCAATGAGCTGGCAGGCGCTCAGGTTCACCAATACATATGCATATGTGCATGTATTCCGTTAAAGGTTTTAGCGATGGCTACAAAAAATTGTTACAATTGATGTTATTACATTAAATGACGTCTGAACCAAGAAACCAAGCGAACTTGATCGTCATATAGAAACCAAGGATTAATAACACTTGTTTCCCGGACTGAGAAATACAGATAGACAATAACAGTCTTTCCAATAATTTCCATTTGAAGCCTGCTATAAGTTACAAAGTCAAACCAGACTTGTCGAAAATAGCATTCCTATGGTATGACCTTGTCTAAAGTTCGTGAGACACATTTTTTAGTCTGAAAACACACACATCTACTACTAGAGAACGACTACTTTTCTTAAACAATTTTTCTATGGCCTACTCTTTCCCCCCTCCCACACTTAATGCCAAACTCAATCCTTTTTTATCATAAGTGATAAGATAAAAGCCTCTCCTACACAAACTAAAGATAGCTATTGAAAATGGTATCTTTAGATCTCACGCTTCCTCTCTCCAGAAAACCAAGCTCTAAATCCACCCTCGAGAAACTCTAGCTCAGTGATCGTCAGTTAAGGCGGCCACAAAACTTGTTCTGACAGTTATTGTTATTGAAAAGAAACATATATTCATGCTTGTTTGATGTGCCGCAATGTGACAGTGGCCTCTCAGATTTTTTTCTGTATTTTTGTGTGCAAATGCAACTAAAACAAAGAAAATTATATACTGGCGAAGATGTTGCAACATGTTCATGAAAAAAATAGTACTCAATCGAGTTTTTTTCTGCAACGCATCATTTCAAGCTCGTGATTTCCCTTGAAGCTAGTTTTAAGAATATAATCTTTGACTTTAGGTAATGTCCTAGTAAGCAGTTTATCTCTTCAAGTCGGTCGTAATACTTGCAACTTGTCTAAACTTTAAAATATTGCGAGCAATTTGGACTGAGCTAAAAGTTAATGGATCTCTGTAAGATCAAACTTTGTAGTGGAACATTCTGTCTATTTTTATGATACCGAAAAATCGGCCATATCAGCAAAACTTTTCCAGGAACGTAGTGATCTTATGTATTCGTGCTATAAATACTTGACTGTTCCTGATGTCTTAGTTTTCCTTTTCCCTTCAACTTTAACTTTCACTATCTCTGATTTTTGGGAGATTATGGCAAAGCAATGCAACAAACTGAATCTTGGCAATCGTCAGATTTCCCACTAAAATCTGTCCAGTTCTTGTCTTTCCAGTTTTTTTCTTTCCAGTTTTTGTCTTTCCAGTTCTTGTCTGTCCTGTTTTCGTCTTTCCAGTGTTTATCTTTAAGTTCTTGTCTGTCCAGTTTTTTTCTTTCCAGTTTTTGTCTTTCCAGTTCTTGTCTGTCCTGTTTTCGTCTTTCCAGTGTTTATCTTTAAGTTCTTGTCTGTCCAGTTTTTTTCTTTCCAGTTTTTGTCTTTCCAGTTCTTGTCTGTCCTGTTTTCGTCTTTCCAGTGTTTATCTTTAAGTTCTTGTCTGTCCAGTTTTTTTCTTTCCAGTGTTTGTCTTTTAAGTTCTTGTCTGTCCAGTCTTTTTCTTTCCAGTTTTCGTCTTTCCAGTTCTTGTCTTTCCAGTTCTTGTCTTTCCAGTTTTTTTCTTTCCAGTTTTTGTCTTTCCAGTTCTTGTCTGTCCTGTTTTCGTCTTTCCAGTGTTTATCTTTAAGTTCTTGTCTGTCCAGTTTTTTTCTTTCCAGTTTTTGTCTTTCCAGTTCTTGTCTGTCCTGTTTTCGTCTTTCCAGTGTTTATCTTTAAGTTCTTGTCTGTCCAGTTTTTTTCTTTCCAGTTTTTGTCTTTCCAGTTCTTGTCTG